ATTTGAAAAAATGATTACAATTCTGAATTATTATCAGATCACTTGTGAATTTCACATGGCTTGGGATGATGAGAAACCATTTACATACAGTATTGGTCTGGATTCAGCTAAATCAATTAATGGGGTGCCATTTATCTTAGTTGAGTGTGGATCTGCAAAAGAGAATGAGACGAACAAGAGAAAACTTTATTCAGAATACAACGCATATATGAACCTCAGCTGCTATTTCGCAATGTTCATGAGTACCAATTCCATTTATTCCAAGAAAAAAATATAAAAATTTAGAAAAAATAATCCACGCAAGACAAGAAAAAAACTTACCTACGAGGGCAGATGCTACTTTACCAGCTCTAGCAGGCTCCTGCAGCATATAAAATACGAATAAATTGTTGAAGTTAAAAAAGTAGTGTGAATCTTATTCATGATAAAATCAAATTTGGTGGGGTTAAATACAAATAAATTGTTGAAGTTCAAAAAGTAGAGTGAAATCTCATTCATGACAAAATCAAATATGCTGGGTTACAATTAAGAGTCCATACCAACTCAGTCACTGGAGTTGATCTCATTTGATTCTCTGGGAACCATTTTTGTGATTCCTGAGCAGCTTGAGTGGATTTATGGGCGTCTTCTGTTTATGAAAAATTGGAGCTGTAAATAATAGAGATTTAACCATAGGATTGTGATTTTGTGACTGAATACTCTAGTTCAATAGTCAATACCATGATCAGCAGTTTTAACTATTGATGCTTTTGCACCTGCTTTTGTTGATGAGTCCGTAACCCGTGAATTAAGAACTTCTATCAGTCCAGTGTACTCATCCCTGAACACAATACCAACGGTAAATCTTTTAGATGATAATACAGAAAAGGATATGCTGAATAAAACCAATCAAACCCAGATCATAACAAGACACAACATTTTTCCATCAAGGGCACATTTAACATTTTCAGTGAACGTGTCACAACACAAGGGCTACCTGGTCAATAATTGCTGGAGCATTCTTTGTCCATCCATCAAGTTGGAACAATACCACTCATCATTTTAATGAAAATATATAATCACCATGAAAATATTCCCTCCGCTCCAAAAAAATTGAAAAGAATTGCACTCACTTATGGGATATAAGTTAAAAGTTTGGAGGTATGAGTAATATCGTTTTGATAGAAAATATGGTTTGGCAAGCTCTAATACACGTATCATGTAAAGGATAAACCATATATAGTTGGAGAAAAGATACACAAATAACTTAAGGTTTGAACAGTTACCTTGAAAAGGACTCCTGCATGATGAGCTGCTCTATTAACTGCTTGTTTTCAGTCTTGGACACAATAAACTCAGATTCTTGCCCTTTTTGTGAAATATCCGGAAAAGGCCCCTTTTTCTAAAATAAGAAAAATTAAAATGAGCTACATGTATAATCACAGACAATGATTGATAAACTAAATATCAACCAATGCCATCCTATCAAGCATGGACTAAACAATTTACATATGACATTAAGCACAGAATATAAGAAACTATTCATCCTAAACTCCACTGTAATCATACCAGCCCGACATAACTCATTTGTTTTTTCCCTACCCAATACATTCATACAGAAGTCAGTAAGTAAAGGAATTCTTTTAAATCAACTCAAACAGTATGTTTCAACCCTGCGAACAAAAATAGCAGCTTACCATTTTCAGATCAGTTCCATGCCCACTAACACTGTCTGAATCACATTCATCTGCCAAACAAAAGCTCAAAAGATCAAATGAGAAACAGAAACAAAACACGCGAACACAGAATCGTGTTAGTCGAGCCTCAACCGGTATGCATAAACAATCACATTCCTTTCGGGCAACCTCTTATGTAACTAAACATCACAAATCACACATCCACATTCAATAATCAACCAATAACCAAAATCAAACGGAAATTTGTAATTTCGACTAAAAATTCAAAGCGAACTGAAATCACCTAGTATGGAGACTAAACGCTGCATATGAATCGCACTCTGCATACGAACTACATTCATCAATCTCACCCACAAACATTTAAATTAACCAAAGAAAAACTGAATGAACACTGAATACTCACCTGAATCGCACTCGCCGTCCCAATCAGACGAGGACTCCTCGCTTTCAGAGAAGACGGCGGTCAGGATCGAGCCCGCGGTGGAAGCTAGCGCCCGAGCGGGACGAATAAACACGTCCGCAAACCAGTGACGGGTTTTAGGCGGCGGCCGCCTCCGCCTCCGACGAATGGGGCTGCGGCCGCCACCGCCGGACCGAGAATCGGAGATTGTTGCCATGCTGGGGATAAACTAAGAGGGGTTAAACTAACTTTTAATATTTATTTTGGATTTTAGAGTTCATAGTTTAATAGTTACCTCCAAGTAAAAGGAGATTAATTTGGATAAGGCTTCAAATTCAATTTTCAAAGTCTCCTTTAGTGTAACACTACTTATTTAACAAGATACAAAGAATCCTAAAATGAATTGAACTTATAATTGTGGTGCACTTTTAGGTTCTTAAATAAATTAATGTTTACTTAGAACTGTTAATTTGGATAAGATATCAGTTTTCAAAGAGTCTTTTGATACAACTCTACCTATTTAACAAGATACAAAGAATCCTAAAATGAATTGAACTTATTTGTGGAGCATTTCAGCATTTTTAGATTCTTAAATAATGTTTACTTGGGACTGTTAAAACGAAACAAGTTCTTGGTAATGAATTATACTTAATTGTGGAGAATTTTTAGATTTTTAAATTATTGTTTAGTTTGAGTGATTAAACGAAATCGCTTGTGAGTTCGGCTCGCATCACTCTTTTGATAAACGAGTTTAGTTCGAATTTGTATTATTAAGTTCATTTGTTTTATTACAACTCGAATGGTCAAGATTTGAAAGACTTGATAAAATAATAATTTTCACGTAATTTCTTAAATATTGATTCGTTAAGACTCGAATTTCAACTCACTAATGAACCCAACTCCAGCTCGTAACTTAATGCTAGCCTAACGGCTCGAGTCTCGAGTATCAAGAGCTCGAGTTCGGCCCGTTTCAACTTTACAATCTAGCTATACACAAGCCAAGTCTAAATCGTAAAACATACCAAAATAGTAATAATAATAACAATAAAAAAGAATTGCTCCACCTATTTTATCACTGTATTTCAAACTTTAGAGTTAAAGAATTTTCCCATGCATATTAACATGAACAGATATCAGAAATTAATGGATTATCAATTATTTGATAACTCAAATAACCAACTATATTCTGGTGGTTCAAAGGTTAACTTATTTATAGCACCAAGAAAATGAACAAAAATATAAGAGTAAACAAGTAATTGAACAATGCAGCTACTTTGCATAAAGCCAGTGAAACTAAAAAATTTCATTACAGTTTTCACCACTATTCAGAACTTCAACACTGATGGTTCCTGAGATATTTACAGAAGTGATCATATGGAAAAGGGGAAAAAAAAAGATGCAAATCTGATCATCAACACAAAAGAGAAGAAGCCCAAGAAATGCTATAAGTAAAGATGAATTATTATTTTTTTATTTTTTTTATTTTTGTTGTTCATTCTTTCTTTGCAGCAGGAGCTTTGCAAATTGGGCACCAATTCTTGAGCCGCAACCACTGATTAATGCACGTCATGTGATATTCGTGCAGGCACACGACCAGCTTCCCGATTTCATCCCCGACTGCATATTCCTCCTGCAAAAACGAGCACTTTTTTAGTCGCTTGGAGGCTAAACAAAAAGTTATAAAAAAAAAAAAAAATGTCCAGAGATCATCAATCATGGGTTTTTAGAATAACTTGTATATAATTCAAAACTCAAAAGATGAAAGAAATGAAATTTCTCAAAGGGTGCTTTTTAGTATAGCCATTCAAAGATTTCAAGGGATCAAAGAGAGAACCAAATCTAAATTACCTGACAAATACTGCATTTGAGTATAATTTATATATAATTCAGAACTCAAAAGATGAAAGAATGAAATTTCTCAAAGGGTGATTTTAGTATAGCCATTTAAAGATTTAAGGGATCAAGAGAACCAAAGCTAAATTACCCAACAAATACTGCATTTGATATAATTTATATATAATTCAGAACTTTCGTGTTTTTTAGTATAGCCATTCAAAGATTCAAGGGATCAAGAGAACCAAAGCTAAATTTACCTGACAAATACTACATTTGAAGTCATCTTCATCTTCGCCCAACTCCATGAGTTTTACTCCATGTGGGCCCGCATCGTATATGCTTGTCTTAATGCACTCTGAAAGTGCCTCGTCCGAGAGTGCAGTGCTCACTGTACCCATTCTTTCGCCTAGAGCTAATAATTCCTGGTTAAAAAAAAAAAAAAATTCAATAATTTAATCAAAATCTAAAACCTGGGTTTGTGCTGCAATTCTCTTGCTTCTAGTATGACCTTTAAACTTAAAAAATACCATATTCAAACATTTATTCATCAAACTTTTTCAAAGTTGATTTGATTTTTGAGCTTCTAAGTTCAAACACAGCCAAATTTGATAAACCATAAGTTTTTTTACCCCCATAAAACTCTTCCTGTAAAAGCATACACTTTCACAAACACAAGAGTGAAGGAACTGGAAAAAATCTGCTTACAAAATCAAAAAGAAAGAAAGTAATGTTGGAACTGAAAAGGTTTGTGGCCAAATTTTATCAAAAAACACATGCAAAGCATAAATTTTTATCAAAAAGAAAAAAGAAAAAATGAAAAAACTCAGACCTCATATGACATGTTGTCAATATCCAGCCTCATGTCCCGATGCCGATCATACAGGTTCAGTCCACTTAGAAATAAATTGGTCTCCAGGGAAAAAATTTGCTATAGCCAGCACAATTCAAAAAGGAAAAAGAAAAAAAAAAAGAATTAATTAACGTTACAAACTTCCTAAAATACGCATTAAACATTGTAAAAGACCAACGACAATTGTATACCTCATGCGTAAGCTCCTCATCCTGCTCGATCCTATCGATGGCTAACAAAACCTGCAACAATAAATGAGTATATAAAAATACAATTTTTTTTTGGGTGCAAACTGCAAACACGACTGAACGAAATTCGATTAAGAAACTAAATAATACCTCAGCTATTCCATCCATGCTATATTGTGTATGGTTCATTAAATGAGTAAAATCAAATTCACCCGTGGTAAAAGGCATCACATTGGGTAAATTCCCAGAATTACCACCAGAAAAACTATAAGAACTCGAACCAGTCGAAGGACGAGTACCGTAAAACCGCGGCCCACCGATATTAAGAGATGAATTATGATTCCTTCCGTTTTGCTGGTAAGAAGAAGAAGAAGAAGAAGAAGAAGAAGAAGAAGAAAGTCTCGGCCTGCCGCTGTTCATGTTGACTGCCCTTCTTGTGGCGCTTTTGCTATTGCCAGAGGCAGAGTTGCTACTTCCAGAGCCGGAGATAGAGATACCACCGGCCGAGGGGTATAAATGTCCATTTTGCCGCCCTCCTCGACGAGAAAAACTGCTCTCGGCATCAAACTTTTTATTCTTCATCACCTTTTTACCACTAATACTACTATTACTACTGATACTATTATCATTATTAATACTATTACTATTAATATTACTACTTTTGCTGCTGCAGCTATGATAAAGTGTCCTTATGCCGGAGCTTTTGGAATTGAAAGGAACAGAAATTGCCAACCGAGTAGAAGTGTGTTGGTTGTTCGGCTCGTTTTTATGATGAAACACTTTTCGAGGTCTAATCTCACCGGAAGTCTCGTTTTTTGATGCCAAACGATGATGCCTTGATTGATTCTTACTCGAGGAAGAATCTTCCGAGTCAACGGATTGACCACTACTTCCCGAGGGGTTGACTTTCGATTGGGAAACTGTTTTTCTCTTTGAATCAAGAAGCAAGCCTTTTGACTTAGATACTCCAATTCCATCCCCACTTGAAGAGGGAAAGGATGGTTTCGTAGAGAATTTGGCTTTTTCCGAGCTTGCGATTATCGGGTTCAGACCGCCATATTTAACTCTTCCATTACATCCTATTCGGTTGCAAAATCGGGCTTCTTTGTCTGACCCGTTTGATGTATTGTGTCCTTTTCTGAGCATCATATATTCCTGTAAATAAGATGAATAATCGGAATCCGCCAAATGAAAAAGAGGAAAACCGAATAAATGTAAAGTATAAATGTCCGATAAAATATCACAGAAATATTGAGAGGCACGAGTATCATCTGCTGCGAGGAATAACTCAACATATATATCGACTGAATAAGTGAACTATCACAAAAATGAAGCTAAATATTAAATCTTCAAAAGGGAGTCACATGCTGATAATAATAAGATGGCGAGGAAGAAAATTTATATGCAGAAACAAAATTCACACACCGATAGAAATTAGAAACACAGTTTCAGATATAAAACTAGAGGACTTATCATCATAATTTAAGAACAACAGATGGAGCAAAATAAACATGAAAAGAAAAAAAAGCAGAAAGATAACTATTCTATATGGAGAAAGAAAAAGATTGCATAGCCCATTTGAATAGCCAACTAACATCCAAACTTCATAAAAGCCTTAGTTTCCTTCATTTTTGGTTAATTCAGAAATTCAAAAAAATATGTTGGTTGATTGCTTCATACTCTTTGGGAAAGAATCACTTTATCAGAATCCAAGTCACCCAAAAGTTCAAGCAAAGATGACTCTATGCACTCTTGAATAACAAACAATCTAATTATATTAGCTAGAATGAACAAATAAATAACAATCCAGAATTTTACACAGGATTGTCAAATCAACAGACAAACAAGGAAACATGTCAAAAACATAATCAAGGAGAATCAAAGAAAAAAAAAGGCAAGATTTTGAAAAATAAAGTCAGTTTTTCAATTAACAGTAAGGGGTGTCAATCAAGATTACAGAACTTCACCAACCTTTGCTCTAAACAACACACACAACAGGAAAAGGAAAAACAATTGGATGCTTTTTTTTTCTTTTTTCTTTTTTCTTTTTAAAAAAAATGAAAGCATGCCCACAAAAGTTAATTTACCTCAAGAAACAAAAGAGCCTCAAGCTCAAAGCAGAGACCTTTATCACAATCATAAACTCTCAAACCACATAATCAATCAATAAATACATACATAGCCTGATAAAAAGAGAGTATGAGACCAAGGGGCATGAAACAAGACACAAGAACCAAGTAAAAAACAAACCCAATAGAATTATCAGAAACAGATAATCACTACACTGAAAGTCCAAGAAAATCTCATACCTTGTTATCAATCCTGAACCAACCCAAAAGAAAATGAACGAGTCGTGAATCTTTTTCCCCCTTATATTCCTTCACCTTTCTTCCTTTTGACTCGTATTTCTTTACCCTTTTTCAAACAAAACGAAAAGAATAAAAAGAACCCAATTTTATTAAAGAGCAAAAAAGGTCCCAACAAGTCCACCACAAACACAAAACGGAAAGGGCCTAGCACTTTAAATATAGGAAAAAGAGATAAATTTACTACAACAGATTCATAAATATATTAAAAAAAATATTGCAAATATAGTTATATTATCCTTGTTTTTAAAGATCCGAGGCTAATGGGGAACTGAGTTTAAGGCATATATCAGGAGTTTCACTTAAAACCATAAATCACAAACAAATCCTTAACAAACAGCTGCTGAATTGCCGTTCTGCCTTTTGTGAAATTACCATCGGATTTCAGCCGTTGGATTCGGCTGTGGGAGTATGGACGGTCGGAGATTGAGGGCTGATGGGCCGCCAAAAAGTCGCCGTCGTGGGCCTGGTGGGCCACCACGGGGATGTGACGCAATATAGCATTAGCACAGGTGGCCCAACTTTAGTAGTTATTTTGTAGGTACTTATTTAAATATTAATATTAATTAAAAAATCGAGTTTATCTAATATTGTAATTATGTATCAGATAGATCTTGGGTTCAATGGAGTATGGATTGGTAATTTCTTAAGATATAAATTAATTTATAATATTAATATATGATTTTTCTTTGGAAATTAATTTTCTTTTACATTTCTTAGCAAATATATTGAATTAGTTAGGTTGTTGTTAGACAAACATTAAAGGATAGGTCCATATTCCTTTTCAATAATATGTATGCTTTCAAAATGAAATATGATACTCTACAAAAATTATAAATTAAGTATGATATTTCATATTAAAAATATATAATTATTATTAAAAAATAAGTTCAATTGATCCGCTTAATAATTAAGTGTCTCACATGAAAATTTGTGATATTTAATAGAGTTACTAGCCCCTTTGAAAATGACCATTTTATTTATTTATTTATTTATTTATTTTGTGGCAAAAAAGCCATTTTTATAGCCTCTTTGTTACACCATAAATCACATCATTTTGGCTTTTTCTCTAGCAACGAGACAAACAAAATAAATAAAATAAATGTGGAGCACTATTTAAGTATTAAAAAAATACTTTGTAGACGAAAAACTTTTCTTTTTTTTCTTAACAACCATTTATATTGTTCACATGATTTTTTTAAATAATAATTCTTCATCCAAAAAATATGAAATTATATTTTAAAATAAATCTACAAGAACCTGAACAAATCCAAAACTGGTAAATGGACAAAAAAATATCCATTATGTGTTTCTAAAACAACGTCATATTTTATGTGGATGGTACCAATTACCAAACTCCTACCAGAAATCTAAATGTGCAAAATACAATAGGCACCTATACATTCACATTGTAGGCTGTAGCCATAAAATTTTCTTTTGACTTTTTAATACTATCAGTTTTAATATAATTCATTGAGTTTATGGTACTTGGAAGTATTTCAAAATATGAAATATTATATTCATATATAATTATATCTTTTTTTTCTGTATTTATGATCTTAATATGGGTCTGCAATTTTTTAGAGTTAGTAATTTACTTTGTCAAATTGGTATCCTAGTTGAAATACAGAATTATGTATTGACAAAATTTTGATTCTTGATTTTAACAATATTACATCAACGAATTATATTGATGCATATTATGTGTATTTTCTATAAACTACTGTGCAAATCATTATGGCTATTTTTATATAGGGACTAATTACTTATTTACTTGGTCAGATTTGATTCCTTTATATCATAATCACCTAGCAAAAGGGTATTCCTTATCTTCTTCTTATTTTTCTTGAAAATTCTAAATTCAACCCAATAACAACTTTGACCAGAAGGTTGAAAATGGGTTATCACATCAAACCACTGTGTAGAAATTTTATGTCAATTGCGTTTTAGTATATATTGAATAAATTATTTCAAAAATATGTATGATTGGGTTTGATGAACTTTCTAAGAGATTATGTTGTGATTGACTGCTTTTGAATACTTTAATTAAATGGTTAAATCAACATCAATATGAGCTTATCAGCTCATATTGTTTTAGGTTGGTTTTGTTTAGTATTGTATAGTAACTATTTAACAATTCTTAAAAGGCTAAATAACGTGATATGGTGTTAGAACTAGCCATTTTATTAAAAAAAATGTCAATTTTTTTAAAATATATAAATAAAAAATAATATTTTATATTAAAATTATATATATAATTTTATTTAAAATCATGACAATTGTAGACCTTGATTGCCTGTGTATTTTTCCTAGAGTACAGAAAATATGAGTGTTTGAAACTTTAAATAATATTTAGTTGCAAGTTGCAATTGTGTGGGTTAAGCACTCAATTGATTTCATGATCCACTCAACAACAAAATAAAGCAGACATTGTGTTTCAGATATGTTTTTCCATTTCAATATTTTATTTTCCACATATTTTTGCTATCCACATTTTATATAGAAATTACAAAGACAATCCAATCAATTGAGTCTATGCACAAGAGAATTTAATTGCCTTTAAAATTTAGAAAACCCCTTTATAGTTTATATATTTCTGCTATAAGATTGAAACTACAGAGGGACTAATCTATATCAATTACAATTAGGTACTTGTAATAGAGTTAAGAAAATTTGTCTAATCATGAAAAGATGACTAAATTTTCCGATTATTGGTTTAAAACTCTTTATGAATAAAGTTTTTTTAATATGTAAAATTGAAAAAAATAAAAAATTAAACGTGTTCCCCTTGTTGGGCTTTGCATAATTTGCGCTTTTTCTTGTACATCCAAAACAATTATTTTTTTTTTTTATATCAAAAGCCTCTCTACCCATCATCTAGCCATCTTCCCCTGGAGTCAATATATTTTAATATCAATACTTTTCTTCATCACAAATTCATATCACTTATAATTTCCATCCTTTTTTCATCATCATTCAGAAGAGGAATCTTCATTTACAGAAATCCAAGGTATCCATTTAATAACAATCTGTGTATTTTTTTTTTTCCTGTGTTTTTCCATATATCGTCGTGCGCATTTCGAATGTTTTTTTTGCATGTCATCTCAATGAAAAGTCGAAAACATTTGTCATTTAAATCAATCATTTTTATGGGTGTTCCAATGCTTGTTATGACAATAAATCTTCATTAATCATGAATGAATGAATGAACTTTTTTGTTATCACAATAAATCTTCACTAATCATGAATGAAAGAATGAATGATCGTTTTGTCCCTTTTTGAGGTTTGATACATTTTGAATCAAATAAATTGATAATTTTGGTGTGAAATTACCGGTGAGGAAAAAGAATTTGTTATTATGATGATGATTATGATGTTCCTCAAATTGGAAATGTTGTAAACACATAAATCAATTTCTAAAATGCATGATTAGAGAATTCAACCCTACCACGGTGGGTTCTAAATCGTCAGATCACACACACATACCCGTTCTATTGATTGATCTGACAGTTCAAACCTCGTTTACAATGCTATTGATAAAGAAAAATCCACGTTTCAAAAAGATTGATTCTCATAAAATGACAAATTGCATATTCGGAAGGAACTCAGAAGTCAATAAATTTCTGATAAATTATGTCTTATACTAAGGACATTTTGCATTTGCATTTATCAACATACAATGCCATCAGCAAAATCAATGAATTTCAAATAAAACCGCAAAAATCAACACACCTGCATGAGTACGAACGTTCGGACCACAATGTGGTCGGTCGAAGATATTTTTTTTTGGAACTTTTCTTATTTATGAAGTATCAATTTTTACTGATTGATGTGCAAGAATGGAGAAAGTTTGACAGTAAATCGGTTTTCTTTCCTAAAATAGTAAGATTTGGCCCCTTTCACTCTTTGTTATTTCCACAATCTGCAGGCAAATATATAATTATAATTATATATTTATAAATAGATGGCAACAAGAAGAAGAGACATTGCTCCAGGGAAGCACACAGCAATCACACAACAGCTCAAACCAAACCCAAACTTACCTTCCAAAACAAACTCAACTGCTCTAAACCATGAACCAATAATCTCACCAAGGAAAAACACTCCAATCAGAGCCCGGCCCATTTCACTGGGCCCAACCAGCAACCTTCACAACAAGCAACAGCCCACAAAAGCGCTCGACAAGACCCCATTACTGTCACGAAAAACACACGATTCAACCAATCCGCGAAAACCATCAACTTGGGCCCGGGACAAAACTCCACTCCCTGCCCAGAAAAAACCAGTCTCGGCCCATAACCCGCCAACCGGGGCCCGGGACAAAACTCCACTCCCGGCCCAGAAAAAACAAGTCTCGGCCCATAACCCGCCAACTGGGCCCCGGGACAAAACTCCACTGCCGGCCCAAAAGAGACAAGTCCCGATTAATTCCTTAAGGTCCAGAGACAATGCCCCGAAACCCGAAAGGAAAACACAAGTCCCAACTAATAATAATAATAATAATACATCTATTAAGCCTCGTGACAAGACTCCATTGCCCAAACGGCAATCGATAGTCCCGATAAATTCATCTAGTCGGCCTCGAGACAAGACACCTGCGCCTGTAAGAAAAACGCAAGTCCCGGCAAATAATCAGCCTAGTCGATCTCGCGATCGGACCCCACTGCGAAAACCGAATGCCTCGACAAACCCATCTCCTCGACTCTCTTCGATTCCCGAGAAGAAAAATTCTGCTTCTCAAAAAAGGGGTCCGAGCAAAAATCCGAAGCCACCAAGTAAAGATGATGCGGAGAAACTACCCGTAAGCAATATTTTGAACATGAAGGAGCAAGAGAATGGAAAGAGCGATTCTTCGTCAGAAAAGGAACTAATAACAGATGCTCAACAAGTGAAGGTTGAAATTCCAGATATGTCTGAAAATGTCCAGGAAGTTGAAGTTGAGTTGCTTCTGGAAGATCAAGAATCTTTCACTCTTCTCGAAGGTGAGAAGCAGCAGATTGTAAAAATCCCGAGTGAAGATGAAGAGAGCACCGTTGATTTAATGCCCGAGGAAAAAGAAAAGCCATTGGATCTTGCACCGGTTGACAAAGAGAATGATAATGGTGATGATAAGGATGATGATGATAATAGTGATGCTAAGGAGGATGATAAGATTGTTACTGACGAGCCTTCTCCTGTTGAAGAACAAGAAGAGGTCCCTCTAGATGTCAAACCACAAGAATTGGAAGAGAAATTGTGTGCTGAAGAGAAATCAGAAGAACAGAATATACAAGAAATAGACAACAGTAATGATGTCGTTGAAAGTGTTGCAGAAAGTTATCTGAAAGAAGACAATGAAGAGAAGGAGGTTCAAGTTGAAGAAGCTGAGGTGGTGGAAAAAGAAGAAGAAAAAGAAGAAGTGCCCGACAAGAAAGATGAAGTGGCTAGCGAGGTTGAAGCTGTTATTAAGTCCATCGAAATAAAAGAGCAAGTGGTTGAGGAAAAAAAGCAAGAACTGGAAAATGTACCTTCTCAAGCAAAAGAGCAAGAAGTGGTCGAGAAAAAGAAGCAAGAACCAGAAAATCAAGCTGCTCAAAAGGAAGTAGTACCGAGGAAGAGGGATTCTGTGGTCTCAAATGACATGATTGAGGAGACTGCCAACAAATTGCGTGAGCAGAGGAAGAACAGGGTGAGGGCTCTTGCTGGGGCATTTGAAAGTGTGATATCTTCACAGTAAAGCAAGTCGGTAATAACACAATATAAGTTTTCAAATGGGAAAAACTGTTTGTTTGTTTTTTTCTTCGGTGGGGGAAATTCAAGGATAGTTTTGGTAGATTGATTCTATTTCATGTTTGATTACTACAATGATATCGTTGTCTGTTGGTTTTATAACTGTTTCTTAATCATTAGCCATTGTAGGACATATGACAATTTTTTTGTTTTTTTTTTTTGTTTTTGTTCTAGTCACTTGACTCGTGGCAGATATTTGACATTGAAGAGTAAATCTATGAAGAGTGTATTTATTTAGCCTAATTACAGGTTCTAGCTTGACAACTAGAATTACAAAATTTTCCCTTCTCCACGGTTCTTCTATTTTTGACACTTTAAGTTTGTTTTGGAGACAGACCTTCTAAAGAGGACTAAAACGAAACAAACATGAACCAATAGAACTCGCATCAAATAATTGTATTGCTATTTGACAGGCAAAACTGGTCATCAGCCACCTCTGATGAGCTTTTGGTTAGCTTACATATTTGTTCATAGGTAAAGACTCCTACAGCTCTTGAGCTCGATCTAGAAGATATTCCATGATAATCAACACTTTTAACAATTATTACCATTTTGTACCTTTTCTCTAACATGAGATCAATGACGGAGCCAACTGATGTTGAGCTAGTGACAAAAGGTGGTGGGGTCCTCATCAGTGTTGAGAGTGGGGCATCTAGCTGCATATAAAAAGCCATACAATACACATGAGACAAACAAAAGGAATAACACATTAAATAAAAAACGAACAAAATAAGATGAAAAACACAACAAGAAAGATAACAGTCGTCCAGTAGGATTTAATTTGTTTTCGAGTTGGTTACAATCTTTACCCCTCGTATTAAGCTCTACAACAAGAAACATAGTTGTAATACAAACTTCCAGTTACCATTTTTTATAATTTTACAAGCACTCCTTGAGGTTTATTTATTCACCAAACGAAAAGCTCTCATCCCCAGAGTTGGGTCCAATTTGTAACTGAGAAACAAATATCAAAAGAGTATATGCACAACAAGTAAGTCATTTGACATTTCTTTTAATTAGGCTAAACCTCATGGGTAACTACTGTTAAAATCCCTGGAAAAATGTACTAATGTCGTGGCACATAAAGATTAGAGAATTCTGAGCGAAAAATAGGAAATCCGTTAACATTTTGGGGCACTATCGAAATGCCTTTTTTTTCCTTCCTAATTTCTAAGGGGTATTGAGAGAGATGAGTACCATATGACAGTCTTCACGATGCAATATCCCCACACAGCCCCACTCATCCACAATGGGCACCACAGAATTCTTAAAAAATCGCATAACCACTTGCTTCAATCTCAAAGTGGCTTGAAGTGGCGAAGCTTCGTGAAATGGTACCATGATGTCCGCAATTGGAGCTCTAAGTGACACCTGGTATTCAGATATTATAGATAATTTTAGACTTTGACCTGTGCTTAATTGTCTCCAATATCATAGTACATCAGCATCTACAGCTCGAAATAAAAGAATCTAACATACCTGAGGAAGCACACAAGGACCCAAAATTGATTTGTTCAATCCCATTAATGCCTCAAGTCGTACCGCAACCTGAAAAAGTGATGCATTGAGTTATGCGCAAGCAGTAGAATACTGCATCAATCCATGGATCTTGAAGCATCCCGATGGTGTTTGACAGAGATTACATATAGTATTTTATAAACTTCTACATATGATAAGGTAGTTCTAGTGCTTATAAGATTTTTGAACCTTAAATAAGTTGTTGAAGTGTTTGGATGGCTTATAAATTGCAAGTAGCAGCATTTGATAATCAAAATGGTCAAAATGAAGAAGGTTCAAGTACGAACTTTTTTTCAAAATAAGTTGGACACCTGAAACTTTGAAGAAACAGCTCTCATGAGCTCCCAACATCATATGTGGGGAGCTTATAAGATCTTTGATAGAATACTGGAGAATGATAAATCGCATTCAGATTTCACATTAAGGACAGTAGTTTCCTTGTATATGGTAGTAAAAAATAAAGAATTCGCCAGATCAGACAATTCGAGCAAAGTTAAGAGAAAAAAAAATTAAGATAAATGTGTCAGTTAGTACGCCAGATTAGACAAATCAAGCGAAGTTAAGAGAAGAAACAAATAAAAATAAATGTGTAGGTTAGTACTTGAGGGCTTGTACCGTGTTTTAATTTATGATCATGGATATAAATAAATGGATATTCAAGTGTGAAACCCCAAATCAACTGTGCATAAATTTAAAGAAAAAACAGATGTTTCTAATATGAGGCTACCGCCTCATCCATTATCCATTAAGACAAACGAAAAACAAAAAGTAGAGCACTTTCTGAAACTTGTATAGCAGTAATATTTCTCAGATGCAGAGAGTATGACGACCATATCATACCATGCCACCTCGACTGCTCCATGATATGTCCCTCCAATTTCGCATAGCCTTCTTAAGTTTTTCTAAAGCCAAATCAACCTGCAGAAAAATCCACAACTAAGTGCATCAATAAAGCAGAATTTACATCAACAAGTGATATATGTAAAGGAGATATGTAATTCCTAAAGAAGAGGCAACAACTAGAGCAACATGTTCTCCAGAGAAGCCAAAAAGGGTAAGAAGTGTGCGAAATATGCAGCTTAAATAAAATAACTATATTGTTTGTGTGGAAGTTCCTTGAATTTCAATAAAAGGCTTAAAAATTAAGTAAAATTAAGAAATATAATAATGAAATAAAGAATAGAGATACCACCTAGGTTTTACTAATCTTACAACTGAGCATGTTAACTCCGCTTACCCGGCCTTGATTTAAGGCTGCCTCCATCACAAGCTGATCAGATTCTGCTTGCATGGCAGAGGTGATAGTTCCTGCTGAATCAAACCACATGCGTTCCTGGAGTCTTCCAACCATGTTGTAGTCCCCCTTAGAAGCAAATGCACGCATCATTGAGAGAAAGAGGTGAGGTTTTGGCCTCGACACCTTAGCTCGTTTTATCATCTCCCCATAAATGCAAAGAGCACCTAACAATTTTTACAAAAGGGACTGCATGAGAAGCTGATAGGCTAAATGTAATACCAAGCATATAAATAGGGAAAAGCCTTTCTATTGTAAACAAGCAGACTAATAAAAAATCAAGTGACAAGTGGAGTTCAACATTCATGTCACATAAGAAAATAACAATTTAAACTGATTCAGATTTGTGATTAAACAATTATCCTTCTTTAAGACCATGATATGGGCCCATCTCATGACTTGTGAAACTTGTAACACGATCAAGAGATAGCATACCTCGGATTGATCCACATTTTAGCAGTGCATCAACAATTGCAGTGTATGCAACACGATCAATATGAATCTTGTTGCATGATTTCAGTTCTATCAAGATCTTTTCCAGTGAACAAGTATCTTTGGCATGCCCCAAACCCTGCAAACAAAACATCTTTGTATCATCATAGGCATAACCACCAGTTAATCAGAAA